TCTGGAAAATTTAAGGGGTAGTTATATAATAATTTTAGACGATCTCGGGCGGTCAGATACTTATGACCGCTACTGTATATTAGTTGTCAATATAATTCGCTTTCTTTTCGCAGTGGTGATATGATACAAAAGTAGATACGTAGCTATATAGTTTTCAAGCTACAGAAATATCACATGAAACTAAAATCAATACTGCTCAAATATCTTTATCGCTTAGTCATTCATTTTTCAAAGTGACTCAAATTCTGTAATTATAGATAAAAGATAGTAGTTTATCTTATGCAGACAAATCTCATTTAGTTCTGGTAATATGCTAAGTATAATTATATTTTCAGATTGAAACTGAATGTTATAAGGTAAATTACATAATGTGGCATATAGAACTCCTGTACTATAGGTTGCTCTGTCATAAAGCTAGAACGAGTTTAAATTAATGATTAATCCAAAATGATTGTCAGCCTTCTCCAGTCAAAAAAAATAGTTTGAGTCTTTTTCAAATGATTTCTTAAAATTTTGCCATACCTGAACATCATAAACATCTGATAAGATATTATCATATTGTGAATGATTAGTCTAATATTGTAAGGAATTTTCAAATTCTGATCGAAAAAATATGTTTAAAAGTTAATATTAGATACTTGTAACTGGATAGACTAATTTGAGCCTGAATGATATACTATTGTTAAAAGTAATCTGTTTCACTAAAGGAGTTTGACATTTTTTAAATCACTTTGTAGCTGAATTAGGAAATTCTACATGGCTACATTTTGTGATCAATTGTTAAATATTAGTCATATCATCTTTCTTATATAATTGTGACATTTTTGACAAGTCACAAAACATATAAATTAATTGACTATGCTTAGAGTTTATCTTACCATATATAAGGATTTTGGAAATAATTCATATTTGGAACATTCACACTCTTTTAATATAATTTTAACAAATTTTATTAATGCTTCAATTGCGATATCTGGTAATCTAAAATTTGATTTGAACTTCATTATCTATATTAAAATTCACATTGCTTAATTAACTCTGAAGTATCTAGCATGTCAAACATAAGATGGGAATAATCTTTGAAATTGTTTAAAAATTTGTTATTATCTCTACCATCTCTCATATTATTATTATCATCTGTATCATTTTCATTTTCATATTCGGTTGATAAATTGCTATTAGAATCTTCAAAATTTTCAAAATTACCTTCATTATGCATGATAATATGTTAAAAGGTTGCTGTATTCTTTTCTTTTTACGTAAAAGGAATGTAAAAGTTTCTAATATGTTATAATCAATTATTTCTTCTAACACATTGTCATCATCAATTATTGATTGTTGTGTTAGATATTCCTCATCGACTAGTTTGACTATTAATTGTAACATTAGCGATTAATTAATAGGTAAATGTATTAACTGCTCTGATTCTAAAAAAGTCAGTCATCCCTTTTGTTTATATGCATTTTTGGTGCACAGATCAACCAGTTTTCCTTTATATTTGTCACAAAAACATCAAACTTTTGTTCTTGATGCTCTTGTTGTAATTTTAACATCTTCTATGGAAAGTAGATTTGATTTTAAAGAGCTTCACATGATTTTTATAATGTCCGTAATAGATCATTTCCTTATCATTTTAACAAAATGATGAATGAAGTAGTAATAAATGATATCGTAACATACACAATTTTATAAGTTATATTGTTTAATTGATTTCGGTAAATTTAACTTATATTGATCATGATTTAATGATATTAACTTAAATTCAACTTAAATTCAACATATTGATTATGATTTAATGATATTGACTTAAATTTGACTTAAATTCATCATATTGATTATTCCTTCAAGTGTTTTGCAGGCAAATTTGCCTGCAATTTTATTTAATAATTAAAATAATTTATAATATTTTTAAATATTTTTAAAATAATTTATTTAAAAATTAATATTTTTATAATAAATTTTATGATATTTTCTAAGTA